CTGAAGGGAGCATTCTCTTCTCCAACTATGGATATCATAAGCTAATAGGTAATGATGTTTCATTTGGCTTCTGCGGCTTTCTCCCTGATACGCAGACTTTCAGCTTTTCGCACAACCTCCTCTGCCACAAGCTTCACGTGACCGCTTAGATTGCTCTCCTGATCTAGGTTCACCAATTCCACCTCCCATATTCTGACCGTCCCGTCTTCTGAGCCTGACGTGTATGACTCCCCTTCTGGTGCATACCTCACGCAGTGCACTGGCCCGTGGTGGCCCTTGTTACACCCTGCATTCACCGCGTTAGAATTCCTAAAATGAAACCCAATTAACCATTTTCTCTTCGAGAAACTTACCAATCTCCTCTCCAGTCTGGAAATCAAACCGATGTACCCACATATCTTCTCCTCCAGCAATGAAAGTCTTGCCGTGTGTTGGTTCCAAGGATGCCGATTCAACATTGCAAGGCATGTCATAGCTCTTCAGCAATCCAAAACTTCGATAGCAGGAGAAAAACTCAAGCATAAACGGACAAAGAAAAAATATGAAAATGTGATTGGGGTACATTCTATATATATCTTAAACTTACTTATTGGCGTCCCAAAACTTAACACTAGATCCATCAGCAGTAGTTATGTATCTCCCCTCCAGACTTACTTCAGCACTAGTAACTGGGGACTTTGTTTCTAATGTTCCAACAATCTTGTCACTTCTTATGTCCCATAACCTACAGAGGGCATACACAAAAGGAGGATGAAACCACAAATACTAAAGGATTATCAATGATGCACAAGGAAGGCAGGAACGATGTGGTGACATACCTAATGTTACCGGTATCTGTGCAAGAGCTTAAGATAGTATTATCACTATGAAGCCATTCGACAGTTCTGATTGAACCGGGGGAATTTCCAACTTCTTTTGGAGGTGCGTCTGGCCGATTCAAATCGAATATCCGAAGAATTTTCTCCATTCCACCAGTGAGTAAGAGGTGAGTGTCCTAGAAAGTAAACAGTTGTGCATTAAGACCACAAAAGAAACACAAACACCAACCATTACAGACCCTCAAATCCTACGAGTATTTTAGAGAATTCCACCATCCATACCCATATATCAGAAAACTTGGCAAAATTATCGAATCACTCTTTGCTTGAAAAGTAACTAAAGCTTACCTCTGAGAAGGCACATGCCCGGACAATATGCTTGTGTTCAAAGGAATGCAATTCATCTCCTGACAATGCATTCCATACTTTCCTGAAATGTGTTAAAATTACAACAACAAAAAAAACAGTCTTAGTCCCCAGGAGGTTACTAATGCCCACTTATCCCACTTTACCATAATCTCTAGAAACATAATTTCCTCAAAGCTTTAAGCTTTATGCAAACAACCCATCACCAGTGGCTAATAAACTTACAAAGACTAAATGACTCACTAGAGTTGTGAAACGCAACAAGAAGAACAACATACGCAGTGAAATCCGCAGAAGCCGAGGCAGCACGCATAGCATGTTTATCAAGGCTACAACTCCAAACTGCTCCCTTGTGTCCTTCAAAAGTCCCTATCCAGTCACCAGTCTCCCCATTCCTCAACATCGGATTCGAATCTGAAATATCACAAGTCGAAGACACACCTCAGCTAGTGTTACAACAAAGAAAGCAACTAACAATCCTAATTTCTCCATCAGATCAAAAACAAATCAAGTAAAAGAAACATCTGCCAAAACGTAAATCAAGTAACGCTCATCAAACTCACTGTTTCTCCAAATCAATTCGTCAAAAACACATTCATAATCCAGAACAGGCGCATTGTAAAAATCATCAATAATCTTCAAATTCAATCACATATCAAGATGAGAAAATTGGATCATACCTTTACTTGCGCTAATGAGGAAGAACCCATCTGGGGTCACCGGACTGTAAGAAACATCGACGACGGGACGAGAATGACCATGGCACACTAAAGGAACCCCCATTCTGTTTTTTTCTTATATATTCACTATGGAACCCTAATAACAAAATCTAATCAAATCACACCATCTACGCTTTTCGGAAACAGTAATTGATCAAGAAATAAGAATACCCGAAGATTGCTTTAGGATCAAATCCGAGTGGTTTGATCGATCGGTGCGAATGTATGACCTGCCTGAGAAATCCCCTTGAAGAGGATCAGAACTACTAAAAGAAAAAAAATTTAGAAAATTGGAAAGACAAAAGTGAGAGAAGAAAAGGAACAACC